TAACTATTCTTAATTAGGATTATAAATAATGATTACTTTGTCTTTTGATACAATAATAGAGTGTGCACACACATCAGTCATCTATTTCAATGTTGGTGTGTGTGACATATTAGTTCTTTAATTAATTAATTAATTAATTACTTAGTATAAGAGAAAAGTGCGTGTTCATATAGGATCATATTAAAAAAGAGAATATATATATATATATATATATATTATAGTAGCTTCGTTGTGGCTAATATTGACAATGTTGTAATTTGGTTCACAAGGACACAACGAAGAAGTAATTATAATTTTTCTTGTACATTGTATATGCTGGTATTCTAGCAAAATGTTTGAAAGTGCGAATAGATTTCGTAAAAAATGTCAGATGGAAACGTTATATGGTGCAAAATATTTAGTTTGAAAATTTAAACAAAATAATGAAAAAATATGTGCGACACTGCCAGAAGAAATATAACGCTCTTTGAGTGTCATGTATATTGAATGACTTTATTACTTGTCAATGACTTAGTATTTGAGGATTTACCTCATTACAATCTGCAATACCTCATGATAAATGAATTGTTAATATTATATTTCGTATATAAATTTGCAACACTTGTTAATGTATTTCTATATAATTTTCAATTTAAAACGCTTTAAATCATAGCACAAATGTAAACAAATGTCGAAATTACGTTTGCTCTTCAAAAACTTTAATACATTGTAGAATATAGAAAATTGTTTAAGCATTATGTTTCACCTTTGTACTAAGATTGTTAATTTTCTTACAGACGTATTTTCTCCTTACTTTTGATAAACACTGTTGATTGGAAAATGTTAAGCAAAAAACAAATGATTAAAATTCTTAAAAATTATTTAAAATCTTCTTCTACTATTTATTATTCTTCCGTCTAATCAATTAAGACAACAAATAATTTTTTACTTCCAATTTAATATTATATTTATACATTACTTTTTGTTTCAAAATTCTTTTAAATATTTCTAAATACTTGCCATTTTTAAGTAATATAAAAGATGATTAAAATATAAAGAGGTATTTGCATTATAATATAAATAAACAAAGAATTATGATCTAACATGATCCAATACTAATTCTGGTTATCAAAGAACTTCAATTGATCTGTAAACATTCTTCATATCAGTAAAGCTGGTAAATTATGGCACTCATTTAACGCACAAAACAATATTTACCATTATTATATTTGTTTTTCTACAACATATACATACCTTAATATTATTTATATAACATTCCTTTATTTATTTGACTTGATTTTAAATGATATTATTTACGTTTTAATTTATAGCTATGAAATATGTCTTATTTCAGAATTAGGGTCTTCAAAAGAGAAACATTATCTCTTTTTATGGTTTTTGTACAACATAGAATACAAAGGACTTAGTGAGTACCACCATAATTAAACAGAAAAAGCAATCCTTAAAGCAGTGTAGATAAGTAATCTAAACAAGCCTTGCTTATGCACATTTGTCTTCTTCATTAATCACTGTAATGCTGATAATGACAATCTATACAGGAAATATGAGCTATGCACTGCGAGAAACAATTGGCCTAAGATTTTGTTTGATATTAAGTATTGAGAGCAATATCAGTACATAAATTTATTTTTATGCTTTAAGATGATGCTCACAGTACTGATAATAAACAATAAACATTAAATACAACAATGTCTCTATCGTAGATCCACTGCAAGTGTAATATATCGAATGTTTTCTGAAACAAGGAAGATTGCAAGTTGATAAATGTGGTTCGATAAATTACCAAAACTTACATAGTATAAACTTTTCGGTATATTGGTAATTTGTCGTGCTTCAGAGCGATTGTTCTGGACAATAACGATCAATGATCCATATAACAGCTAAGTTAACAACTGTCTTTATTCTTTTAAAAGTTATTTTATACACCTAGGAATAAATGATGAACGACTTGTGTATGGGATAATCTGTACAAAGTCATGAATGTGTACGATGTTATATGTTAAACTATGAATATACCACAAACTGTTAGTTATTAGAAGCAACTTTGTTCCATGTTAACCAATGAATACGTGTACATTTGTTAGTTAATATGTTATAAATATTAAGGTTTGATTGGCGTCAGGATGTCCTGCGTATATACAATTAGAAAAGAAAAATTGTCACGCAATCGTCCGAAATACAAACGAAATTATTAAAGACATTAGCGATTAATCTAGTACTTATATAATTGTTATCTTTTACCAGTGCCAAAAAAATAATAGAAAAAATTGTATGTATACACGTGTAAACGTATCGATATTTCCATTAACTGTTGAGACTGGTGCAAGGTAAATAGGAAAATGAAAACTTTTACCAGATGTGTACTCTCCTAATTTAAAAGCCTTCATCTATGTATTACAATTTTAATACCTCTTGGTGAATTCTACTTAAGCAGATGTACTTTCACAAATGCTCCTTGTAATTATTTTCTTAAGACATTGTTTTATCTGTGTCAGTAATTGAACAGTGTACGATTAGTATATTCATTTATAGATGAATGTATTTTAAACTTTGAAGATCTTAAAACTTCACAGAGGTTAGTGAAAATCCTTTAATTATTTATATCGCTATCTTCTGTCTCTGAATTTTCCAATTATGCTCTCTAATTTCTTATGTTGTACAGATTGTTTCACCTTTTTTACTATAATTCTTCAGTCAAACACTGAACGTTTATAGTTTTTACATAATGCACTACAGAATTTCTTTTGATGGAAAAATGAAAAAAAAATACCAAAATATTTATAACATCGACTGCATAAGGTATTTAAAAGAAGAAAAATAGATTAAGGATTATGATTAAAGAACTTACTCTTTGTCCTTTGAATGTTGAAATGAGGACTAAAAAAGATAAGTTAATTAAAATAAAAGAAATATTCGAAGATATTTATATATTTAAATAATATTCAGTGTCTCACCTGTTGGGAAAATCTTAATTGTCTTATTGTTGGATGTCTCCAATCGTTATATCTCATCCAAGTGTGTGGAGTGTTATGTATGTTTGATAATCTTGATTGAGCTACAGTATGCACTGCAAATTGTGGATTCACAGTTAATTGACCATGTTGTTGCAACATTTGTCGTTGTTGATACAAATAACTTGAATAATGTGGTTCATATTTGGTGGAACTTTCCACAGATGATATTGCCAAGGAATTTGTCACTGCCACTATATGAAACAGTATATACACAATATTACATTTTTGAACAGGATATAAAGAAATGATAAAAGTCAGAATAAACCTTTAGCTTTTTGAACATTCAGCAATGTATCGTAATATTGTCTTTTAAGTGTTGCTAACTCTGTAATAGATGCAGATTTTCGTGAACTATTCACATTATTTTGTTTTGTTTGCTTTACTGTAGATCTGAATATAAATAATTCTGTTAAATAAATTGTTAATTGTTAGATATATTAAATTTATGTGACAATTTCAATGATACTTGTATGGTAAATTTTGTATGTTATCCTTTTTGTCGTGTTCCATTAATTGGGATTTGTTAAAAGCAGTGTTTAAACTCTCCTGAAATACTTGCAACTGAGTTGATTTTGGATAAATATTGAATAATCCTGAAGATTTCTTGTCAAATAATTTTTGTATACATTCTGCTGAATTTCTATTTATAGAGTTGTTGGTATTGTTCATTGAAGAATCTAATTGATTTTTGTTTTCTAGGTTCTTCTGAGTTACAAATTTCCAACATTTGGCTGTAAGAGGAAATGTGCACAGAAGTTCTATTTGAAATAATATTGGAAGCTCTAAATATATTATAAGAATAAATTCAATTTTTTACCAAGCAAAATTTCATGTTCTGCGCGTTTTAAAAACTTTTGTAAACTCGTTTTAAGATTTTTGTTGATAATAAAATCATCCAAAATAAAATTGTTTTCTGTTGATACCTACAATGTATTCGCGATAATACAACATTTATTACGAATTATTTATTAATATCATAAACTTTTTATAATTTGATTGTTTACTGCAGTATTTATTTCTTCATTCCAATGTACAACATCCATTTTATATATATCTTCTTGAATTAGTTGTTGTTCAGTTTTAAATTTTGGTTCAAAAGATTCAGGTGTATTTGTATTTGAAATTCTGTTCCCATTTATGTTACTGTTGACATTTTTAAAATATTGATTTTCATCAGGTAAAAATTTGCAATGATTAATTTCAGAATGTAAAAGTGATGAGCTACTATTTGATAGTCTCGAATTAAAAATTTCTGTTTTATGTTGTGCATTTAAATCTATGTCAATGTTACATAATTTTTCTTTTAAATCAATTGGTGACTGTAATATAATTTAAAAAATTTCAATTTAAAAATGCTTAAATTAGTACTATTAATTATTATCAGTGCTATTAGAAGATTAACTTCTTTTATAAATAAATTCATAAATACATACCTGATGCGATGTATGAGGTACATTAACTACATTCCATTGATTATAACTGTTAACTCTATGAAGAGACGATTGAAAACATTTATTATCCATTGAGCTGGAGAAACTTTCTTGATAATTACTTTTCTTGCACAAAACGTGCGGTGTATGAACCCATTTAAATTTTAAATTTGATTGGTGCTTCATCAAGTCTGCTTGTTGATCAGTATGCGGTAGAAAATTTTGACTTATATCCACAAAAGGTTCTATGCATGGAGTGTCATAATCTAATGTATCATACATATAATTCACATTCCTTACATGACTATGTATCATAGAAATTTCATTAGGAGGAAAACCTCGAAATACTTCACATACCGAAGGTATAAACTAAGTAAATGGAAGAAACAGTATGCATATTAAAATTAAATTCAAGAACTATAAATGTTTTCAATTGTATTTTGAATAAACTTTTACATTTTCATTCGATTCAGGATTTTGAGTAGGTAGACCCATCAACATGTTCCGATTTAAATGAATTCTTGTCTTATCAGTTGCATCTTCAGAGTTAAGCTTGTTGTTAAGAACAACATTACTTCTTTAAAAAAAATAGTTTTTATTACAATACTTTATACAATAATGTTATATATTATTTGTCCTTAAAAGGGTATTAAAAACATAAAAATCATACTTTTGATATATTTTAATTTTATTAGCTATTTCAATAAATCCTGTTGTTTTATATATCACATCTTTAATGGAATCATTTGATGCACCTTTGGGTAATGGCACTGTAGAAATTATCTGTTGTTGCGTTTTACTATCAAAGTTTTCAGATAAAAATAGTAAAGTTTTTAATAATCGTTCGTATGCGACTATACCATCGTCAGGATGATACATATTTATTAAACGATTTATATGATTAATAACATTTGTGTTTTTTAAATTTGATAATGGAAAATTTTCAAACATAGAAAGATTTATCATAATATCCTTATTTTCCATTGCAACTAAAATAAAAAATTAATCTAAATTAATATTTCTTTAA